CCCCGCTCAGGCCCCCCACTCCCACTGGGGCTGCCTCCAGCAGCTCTTAGTAACCTCCGCACCTTCGCGTTGAAAGTGCTGGTCGGTGGCGTCGGTGCTGGGCAGAGTGGCGCACTATCATCCTCATCAGCGAGCCGTTCTCGCACGATGCGGAGGGCGACACGCTCAACGCAGCTATCAGAAGGCTCCGCGGCATCAGGCTCCGAAGGGGGAGTCTCTGCCGCCGGGGCTTCGTCAAGAGCCTGAGGGGCTTCGAGGCCCACGAAAGGGACAGCAAAAACGGAGGGTGCATGAGACGGGGCCGCTGGTACAGGCTTGACCTGCTCGGTTTCTGGCTCGCCGCCTTCTCTCAGGAGGTCCTCTGAGCTCACACGCACGGAGGGCGTCCCAGGGTCAGGATGGTGGCCTTTCAGAATGTGATTCCACTTACTCTTCTGCCGCGGCTCAAGCCTCTTCAAACAACGCTTGTTATACAAATTGCTCTTGAGAGGCGAGCCGATCGAGACAAAGGCTGCACAATGAACACATACAAATAACGTGCTCGCGTCTGAGCACGCGAGAGCGACAACATTGTGCTCATTCTGTAAGACTTTGTCGAGATCAAGCAATCTCGGCACTCCACTGCATACTCGCGCCGGCGCGGTGTCAGCGCGAGGGTTACGTCCCAGCTTGCAGCAAACCGTACACCGCCAGCCCCGAGCGATCCATTGGAACTGACAGAGCTCGTTTGTCTTACGGCCAGTTGCTGGCTTGGGAGTGTACTTGACCTCCCCATACTCCTTTAAAGCAGGAAAATGTCCGAGTAATTTCATGGCGAGGATGCAAAACGAATACACAAAACTGATGTGCTCGTTAATTCTCTCATGCAGCTCGGGGTCTGCTTCTGGGTGCAAAGCCGCTGCAGCTTTCGCCCCTTGGTCTGCCGTGTGGGTGCCAGTGCGCATAAACATCTCTTCTTCGCTGAGCCCTTCTTCTTGAAGGGATTGGTGGGCCTTGATTTTCTCAAGGCCTCTAATAAACTTGGATCGCTCATCATTCTGAGCCTGCACAATGTGACCTCCATACTGCCTACGAAAATGTGTTGCTCTCTCCCGAGAGTCAGCAAACTGCTTTACAACACCGAGGCAATCTGATATGATATCATTGTCATCAGCTAAACACATGACTGTACCCGTGAGTGCACAAAACTCTGCACTCTGAGGGGTCTGGGGCAGCGGTGCCCATACTGGGCATCGCATTTCGCAAGCTAGCGCATTATCTTGATAAACCGCACAGCTCCAGCCTGCTCGGCGAAGCTTTTTGACAGGGTGAGTCGTGCAGCTGCCGTCTATAAAAATCTTACCGCTGATATCCATGATATCAGTCGGGGCGCTGGAGTGCCAGGTGACCTGCCTGGAGCCTTCGGCAAGGGGGGGAGGGTGCTCATCCCCTGGGTGAGGGAAGCCGTCTCTGGTAACAGCGAAGAGTAAGTTGCGACCCTTTACGAACCGGTTTCACGAGTTCTTCTCTCTCTTGCTGCAGGCACGGGCATTTCCAGATACGATGAAAAAGCGTGTCAAGGCTGCCGCATCCAAGAGGGCAGTCTGGAGGGTAATCGTATCCTTTGCCTCTGGCATACTGTCTGGTCCAGATCGCACCACATGCTGCTGCCCGGAGGGTGCCCTTCTCAAGGGCCGTGTACTTGTTGGAAGAGGGAGGAGGATGGCGAGGGAAAAGGATGGCGAGGGAGGGATGAGGTCCTCATCCCTCATCATGAGGAGGAGGAGGACGGCGAGGGAGGGAGGAGGAGGAGGAGGATGGCGAGGGAGGAGGAGGAGGAGGAGGAGGAGGAGGAGGAGGAGGAGGAGGAGGAGGAGGAGGAGGAGGAGGAGGGAGGGAGGAACGAAGATCCGAGATGAGAGAGCGAGACTGGGACGCAGATCCGACACTGCCAGCCCGAGAGGGGAGCACAGGGCTGGACCTGAAAGACGTTTTGGCGATTTGGTGGGCCGTTTTCGTTTCGACTTCGTTTTGCGGCCAAGGCGGATTGAAGACAAAACGAGGGAAAACGAAAACGAAAAACACCGTTTAGGTTCAGCCCTGGGAGCGCACTCTGGGGGAGGGAGAGTCGCCAGAAGTCTGCCTGACCACTCCGGCCCGTCTGCTCTCATCTATAAGGCGGTGCTGCACAAGGCAAATCTTCGCGCATCGCCCGCGCGAACGACAAGACGGCGGCGGAAAACCGCGCCATGATCTTCACGCTAGTCCGGGGAAGGACGCGGGGTGGCCGACATGGCACAGCAACAGAAGCACTGCAACGGCCAACGACCCTCGGTCCTCCATCCGCACCCTCTCCTCCAAAACTACCCCCGCCTCCACACCAGGCAGCTTGGCCGGCACCGGCTCAAGTCGTCTCCCGTGGCCTGTGCGTTCGGCCGCCCGGTGAGGGGAGGGAGGGAGGGATGGAGGATCATGTAAACGATGAGAGGGAGGGAGAAGGCTGGGACGCAGACCGAACACCTCCTGCTCTCGTGACGACCGTCCCGCCCGGGCTCGACGGCTGGAGGAGCACGGACGATTCAGGGGCCCACGCGGGCCTCCCGAGGCCTGACCCACAGGAGCCCGGGGGGGAGCCCGGGAAGCAGGAGCGAAGGGGCGGAACAAGTCAAGGCAGCGATAATGACAGGGATGCACCGGCACATCGCGACATGCACGGCAAGCCGGTGGCCTGTCATGTTCTGTCCTCTCCGGGTTCATATTGGCAGAGCACAAGCAGAGAGACGTGAGGGAGGGAGGAATGCTGAAGACGAGGAGGAGAGGGTAAGGCTGGGACGCAAACCTGGGCCCTAAGCCCTCGGACAAAATCTTCGCCCACAAGACGCGATAGGCCCGAGAGCATGAGTGCCTCGCTGTTAGACCTGAGGAGAGGACGACATGTCTTCACGCCCCGCAGAGAACACGAAGGACGAGACGACGACACCAGGGGAAGCGCGGCAACCCTCGCACCAATCGAGGCGGGCGGGAGGGAGGGGAAATCAAACGTCTGAGCACATACACGCGTTCATGATCTCACCTCTCATACCTCGTTCTGCGACGTGGCCAGAAGCTTGGATGTGCGAAAGCAGAAGAAGCAGCAGCAGTGTCCGACTCACTCACTGAGCCGGCCACGTCAGAAGGCGCCTCAGAGAGCCGGGCAGACCGTACATGTCAGCGATCGCCATTTTAGCAAGGTAGACATTGAGTGTCCCAGCGACCAGCTGCATCTTCGCGTCGGCGTGGCTGGGCATCAGTACAGTGAAATCAGAGTCGCCGGCCGCCACGTGGATGTCCACGGATTATTTCTGGGACAGCTCGCAAGCCGCACCGTGAACCAGAATTCGCGTCCAGCATGCCGTGGGGGTCCAGGGTGCGCGGGACAATATAGCTCGGCATGGTCGCTAGCACGGAACCGCGGCCGTGCGAGGGGTGCGTATGCCTCCAGCTCGCGAGGTTCTCAGTGCTGCCATCCGTCATGAAGCCGGCTGGGTCCCAGATCCCCGCGCCCTCCTCCTCAACGGCCAGCTCCGCCTGGCGCTCGGTTACGTTCTGTTGCTCGGCTGCCGCCTGGCTTGCAGCCTCGGCAGCGCGCCCGGCTGCCTGCCGCTCGGTCGCTTCCTGGCACGCGGCCTCGGCCACGCGGTCGGCCCCGGCCTGGCGCGCAGCGGGCGGGCGACGCCTGTGCCACGCAGCGCGGCGAACTGTCGCCTTGCACTGGGCCTCGAAGGCCACGACGGCGGCCGTGGCCTGCACCTGCCCGGCCAGCAGGGGCTCGGCAGCCACAGGAGGGCTGGCACGAGGCAGAACATGAGCATCGTCCACGACCGCTGCAACAGCACGCTTCAGAGTCAAGCGCTGGCCATCCACGCCTGCGGCGACTGCATCATCATGTGCATCATGTGCGGGTGGCGGCGGCAGCGCACAGGCCGGCTGCAGCCAAGCCGGCGGTGGCCGGCTGGGAGCCGGGGGCGGGGGAGCACCAGCGTGTACCCGAGGAGCGTCCGCGGGAAGGACCTTGCCAGCCGGGGCCTGGGCCGCCTCGCACGTCTGCCATCGCTTGTAGACCAGCGCCTCAGCAGAATGTCCGCAGGCGACGTTTCGAGCCTGGGCGGGGTGCCACACCCCATCAGGTTACGCACTGCCAGCGCCTGCACTTGTGCATGCCGGACGGCTACCGTGCGCGCCCTGAAGCGGCGTCTGCCAGCAGCGGAGGCCACGCTGGATGGGCGGCACAGCATGGGGCAGTACATCAGCCGGCAGCCATGGCGGGGCACGGCTGGCCCGACGCGCCGAGATTGGCGGGGCTGGCGCGTTTGGCAGCTGTCTTGATGAGGTTCGCAGAAAACCTCGAATTGGAACGGAGGCTGCAGCAGTAGGAGGGAGGGAGCGAAAGAGTGAGCGGACAGGAGGAAAATGAGGACGGAGGCCGAGGGGAACATGAGGGAGGAAAGGAAGGATGAGACAGGACGCAGACAGTTGCATCAACGCCTTCTTGGCAGCTTTAGGACTCGGGGTCGGAGTCGGAGTCGTCGGAGTTCGAGATGGAGTCGTTACAGTCGGAGTAGTCGTCGTCGTCGTCGTCGTCGTCGTCGTCGTCGTCGTCGTCGTCGTCGTCGTCGTCGTCGTCGTCGTCATCGTCGTCGTCGTCGTCGTCGTCGTCGTCATGTCGGGGTGTGTCTGGGTGTGTCTGGCGTGAGTTGCGTGAGTCACGGTGTGTCTGGGGGTGTTTGGGGGTGTCTGGGGCATGTTTGCGGTGCGTTTGGGTGTGTTTGGGGTTCGCTTGGGCTCCAACCCCCAACCAGGTGCATGTTCTTTCGCATGACTTGCCCTACGCCGCGCCGCCGCACGCGTGTCCGCGACGCCACAAAATCGGTGTGTGTATCTGTGTGTGTGTGTGCATGTGTGTGCGCGTGTTCTGTTCCTCTTCCTCGGCTGTTTCTGTTACCTGGTTCCTCCTCCTCGCTTGCTCCATTGCCCTCGTGTGTGGCCTCCGTAGTCCCCGTCTGCCTCTCGTTTTGTCCCCCGCGTGGTCGGTCATGGCGGTGTTGTCTGTCCCTGTCCGTTTCTCCTTGTCCTTGTTTCCGTTAGCCGGCTTTGGCTGTTTTGTCCCGCGATCTCCTCGGCCCTCCTTGTCCTTACTGTGTCGCTGGCCCGTGATGTGCTGCACTGAACTCGGCGACTGTCGCTTCGCCCACGCCACCTTTTCAGTCCGGGCTGGTCGCCTGCCCGACTTTCCCACCGCGTCGCCCCGCGCGCGGACGCCGATCTACAAGGTGAGTGTTGGTGTGCGCGCGTGCAGTGCCAGCTTCGCTGTTTTGCCTTCACCAGCCCGTAGCCATTGTGACCCTACGGAAGCAAGAGCTCCATTCCAAGAGCCCCGCGCGGCAGCCGAGTCTGAGGCCATGAAGCAGAAGGCCGTTGCCCCTCGGGCCTTGGAGAGGGAGAGAGAGGGAAGGAGAGATGCATGTGGAGTGAACGCGAGGCGGACTGTCGGCAGCATCAGCAGCCGCAGCACCAGTTGCGGGAGAGCAGCGGGGGGCTACAACAGGCGAACGAACAATGACATAAATATATAGAGCTCGGAGGTCCGCGCGGATTTCTCGGATCGGCGCTGGAGACCCCTGGCGGCGCCTCCGGCGCCGCACCTGGCGCGCTCCGCGCGCCAGAGAGGAGCGTCCAGCGCGGATCCAAGAACTCCGCGTGGAGCGCCAACAGTTTATGTCTATGGCATTTTTCTCTGTGCAAGCTACAGGGCAGCGGCGAGAGGAGGAGGCCCTGCGTCTAGCCGTTTAGGGAAGCGATCCCCACGAGCACGCCCGAAGGGGGGAGGGGGGCCGGGGCGGCCGAGGCCGGCCGAGGCCGCCGCATTTCCGAGAGGCAGGCGGTGGATATGGACACTCCCCCCCCCTCCTCCCCTGGGTCTCTCTCTGTATATCTATATATAAGCGTATATAATTATGCGATACGAATGATGATACTAATACTCACAATGATGATAATACAAAGATAGTCATTGTGGTAATAGTAATATTGATAGCAATATTAACAATGGTACTAATATACCGCCCCCCCCCCCTCGCCGAAAAGCGCCCCTCCCACCTCCGTGACGTCGGGCCCCCATTTTTGACACCCCCTCCCCAGCGCCCCCAAGGGGCCTCAGGACGCCCAAGCGGCCTCCAAGGTGGCCCCAAGAGGCCCCCAAGATGGTCCAAGATGGGGGCCCAGCGCGGATCCAAGACATCCTCGCGGACCTCCCAAAGTTTCTGTGTGTGTGTGTGCTGTTTTCCTCCTCCAGATCGGGGCCCGATAGCTCTAACCTGCCCAGGAACGTGCGGATCTACTATCGGGTGCCTCTCGCCGATCTGTCGGCGATGTATCGACGATTTCGAGTCGATGTGTGCGCCCCTTTGCTAGTCCCCCCCCCTATCGTTGCCCCTCCCCCCCCCTTCATCCCCAGCAGAGCAAGACGAAGCATCATGTCTCGGAGGTCCGCGGGGAACTCCCTTCCCTGGCGCGTTCCGCTCGCCAGGGGGTGGCGCCAGAGGCGCCGCCAGGGGGGCTCAACGAAGATTCAAGAAATCCGCGCGCAGCTCCCGAAGTTTATTCAGGAGGGAAAAAGACACATTCACAATCAACCGTCGATTCCCTCGAAATGATGGGGAACTATGGGAAGTGCAGGGAAGACGAAAACCCAAAACGTACGGTTGGGGACTCCTGGGATTTGTATCTATCTATGTGTGTGCCCCTTGGACCACTCTGAAAGTGTATGTGCATGTTGTGCTGCCCTTCGATTGGTGGCCCCCCTCTTCGGCGCACCCTGCCTTCCTGGGCAGGCGCCCGCGCCGGCGCAAACGTTCGCCGCTCCTGGCCTCCGCGCTGAGCGTGCCGACGACTGGGGCGAGTTCTGCCCGCCAGCTGCGCCCCCTCTCCTCCGCTTCCTCTCCTCCTGGCATGGGCGCCGAGAAAGGCAAACAACATCGGATAGAAACACACGGCACAAGCACGAACTTTCTCGGAGCTCGTCCTTCTCGTCGCTGCCGTCCTCGCTCTCGCTGGCCCCTGGCTCCTCAGGCCACCGTGAGCGTCTCCCGCCGCAAGTCGAGGAAGGCGTACTTCACGGCCCCCTCGCATATCCGCAGGACTCGCCCTGGGAAGTGCCGAGGGTTGTCGTCGCCGGTGCCGTCTCTCAAGAGGCTCCTTCTGTCTGTCCAGGCTACCCGGAGGCATGTAGTCGGGCCCCATGGGTTCTGATGTTCCAGCCTACTTTAGCCTTGACCATCAGAAAAAATATCGAGCACTGAGCAAGTACCGAAACTAGAGGGTTTTCACGTGTCGGGCCCTGGGAGGCGACACTCGTTCGACACCGTTTCGATATTTGTCCTGGGTGCTCGAAATCACTTCTGGGGATGTGGTCCTTGCGTTCTAGGCCTCCCAGATGGGGTCGGAGTAGATGGTGTCGAAGGATCGCGCCGCATCGCCGATGCATCGGCGATGCATCGCCGATGCGGCTGGATTTGGAGCCCGCGTTTCCCCACGCCGGCGTCGCCGATGCATCGCCGACACCGCCAGAGCATCGCCGATGCATCGGCGATGCATCGCCGATGCATCGGCGAGGCATCGGCGAGGCGTCGCGATCCTCCGACCCCATCTACTCCGACCCCATCTTGGATAGGGGGCCACATGCGAACCCTACCCCTACCCCCCACGATTTCTGAGGGGGAGGGTGGGGTTCACTTCGCCACGGCGCACGGCCGAAGAGTCAGGAGGGGAAAAAACACAGACACAATTAGTCGTCGACTCCCCCGAAAAAATGGGAGACTATGGGAAGTGGGGGGGAAGACAAACACAGAAAATATGCGAACATGTAGGGAATCTGGTTGTTTGTGTGTATTTATTTGTCTGTCCCAGGGCCCGTTCAGAAGAGTTAGTTTGGCGGAGGAACCTCCAGATCCAGGTCTTCTTCTCTTGCACAGCTGTGCTCTAGAGCTCGGGTCTCGCTCTCTTTCTTTTCGTCGTCGTTCGTTCGTTCGTTCGTCGTTCGTCCTCCCCCCCCCTCGGCCTCGGAAGGAAACTCCTGGAGGAAGGAGGCGAACGCCTCCCTTCTCTCGCAGCTCCTTGGTGCAAGAGCCAGGGCACGCGTGCCACTTGTTTTGTACAGCCCCGTCCCCTCCCTCTCTCCTCCCTCCCGCGTCCCCTTCCCCCCTCCCTCCTCCCTCCCCCTCCCCCTCCCCTTCAAGCCGACTCTTTCCAACGTTGTTCAGTGGATGATGATTGTCGCCTGCCGTCGATGGCACCATGCTCGTTTCGAGTGGTGCTCGAGGGGGCTCTTTGATCACTCTCTGCTGATTCGGCCGAGCTCTGTTGCCGAGGCGCCGTCCGGGCGCCCGGCTGCTCTGACTGTCTTCACCAGCCCCGATCCCCATCCCCATCCCCACTCAGACCCCCACCATCTCAGCACACCAGTTGGGTATGCGCCCCTCGAAGCCCGAAGGAAACAGCCCAGATCTCCATCTAGGGGGGTAGATCGGCCAGTGGGGCCCAGGCCAAATGTATTGGGAGAAGGGTCGGTTGATCGATGCTCACTTATGGAAACAAGTCCAGGTGCTTTCGTCCGATCGGGCCCCAAAATCCTCCGCGATCGATGTGGCTTCAGATATGTCGCAGAAGAGCTCTGGTAGTGACTTCTCGCGGCGTGGTGTGGTTTTGCACGGCGTCGGATCTCGGACACCCACGTGCCCCACGGTGGTCCAGTGTGGAGTGGTTATGGTGTTATGGTGTTATGTATGTTTGCGAACGGCGCTCTCTGTTCGGCCCTGACAGCACGCAGGCGGTGACTCTTACGCGCCACGCCTCTTTAAGAGCGAGTCGTGAGGATGTCTCAGCAGATGATGGATGGCCAGAGTGCACGTGCGAAGTTTATTAAGACAGTTTGCCAGTTTGAGCGTCACAGCCTCCATCGACTGCTCATGGATCTGAGCGTTCCTGCTGGATTGGATAAGCAAGTCTTCGTCTCACGGGTTAGGATCTCAGTATTCGCGCTTCGGGGTTTTGGTGAGATCGAGAAGACACCCGCTGTGGTCCGCGCGCAGGCGCAGCACCTGGCACCTTGTGGGCTCATCCCGCCTGGTGCACCAGGTGCGCTATCGGAAGAGGAGCAGTGTATGGCATGCATGCATGTGTATGTGTGCGTACATTTCCAAGGGCGCCCTCGAGTGCGCGAAGTTATTTGCGCTTCGCGCTTCGCGGTTCGGCTCCGATTCCTCCTCGTCCTCCCCTTCTCCCCTGGGAGGCGGCGCGAGAGCGCGAAGTTATTCGCACTTCGCGCTTCGCGCAGCGCGAAGCGCGAAGTTGGGAGCCCTTGATTTCACTGAAGCAGTGCTTGCACTTAGGGCTCTTGCATCTTTTCTGAGGAACTCGGTCTGCGCGGCGGTCCGGCGGCAATGTGGCCGCCGTCGCCGCCCCGTCGTCGCCCCGTCGTCGCCGCCCGTCGTCTGGGCCTGCGCGGCGGTCTGGCGGCTATGTGGCCGCCCTCGCCGCCCCGTCGCCGCCCCGTCGCCGCCCGTCGTCTGGGCCTGCGCGGCGGCCTGGCGGCTATTTGACCGCCCTCGCCGCCCGGCCGCTGCTTCGTCGCCGCTCGTCGTCTGGGCCTGCGCGTCGAGCCCGCCGCATTGTGGTCGCCGTCGCCGCCCCGTCGCATCCGGCTCTTGGATTCCTCCGGGTCTGGAGCCTTTTTCGCACACTCGGCTTCTCGGTCTCCAGAGCGCCCGAGACGGCCGAAGAGGCCCCCGATGTCGCTCCAAGACTGCCGAACAAGCGCCCCAGAGGCCCCCGAGACGAGCCCAGGACGGGCCCCAAGAGGGGCCCAGGACTGCCCCAAGATGCCCCACGAGGGTCCGCCCCCGGAGGGGCTCCGGACGGCTTGCGGTCGGTGCCGCCGACCCTGCGTGCGGGACCTCGCCTGGGACCTCCGCGGACGGCCCCTTCCCCGGGACCCCCAGGGACCCTGGGGGCGGTACTTTTACTAGGGCCCCCCCCCCCCGACAGGACTTCTTTCGATTCCGCCGATTCGGTTCGATTCGATTTCGATGGATTCCGATTCAGATTCGATTCGACTTCGGATTCCGATTTGGGATCCGATTTCCCAATGGAGGCCTAGTAGTCAGCCAATGTCTGCCGATTCGACTTTTCTTGACTCGGCTGCCGATGTCCGCCGATCCGATTCATTTCGATCGCCGATCCGACTTGTCGATTCGATTCTGGGCTCTCCTGCCCCGAGGACCCATCTTCACCCCCGCCCCAGGACGCCCCCCCCTCTCGGGTCCCCCCCCCGGCGGAGAAGGGATCAAAACGAAGGGACGATCCCTTCGATTGAACTTCCATGTTCCTCAATTTCCCTTTGGCTGGCGGTTGAAGAGTTGGGCCCGGGGAGACGGAAGGGAGCGGCGACGGCAACGGCGTCGTCGTCGTCGACGACGACGACGGCGACAAGTCAGGTCAAACGGAACAGCGTCTCCCAGACGCCCCTTGGGTCGGCGGATTGTTCGCGCCATGGGGGCGGGGAAATCGCTTTGCCATACCAATATCCGATGAGCAACATGTGAATGTACATGTCCACGTAGTCATAGTCGTGTGCGTGGACCCTTGCGGTAAACGTTAGACGCGCAAACAGGCCTCGCGCATCCCACACCAGCACATCCAGCACGACGCCCGGGCGAGGTGCACTGGTCCAGGAAGTCAGGTGTGGGAGCGCGGCGTGGAACCGAGGGGGTGGGCAGCCGTCCGACCGAAGTTCGGAGCCAGCCTGGGCAGGCGCAGGAGTCCACCAAGAATGCCTTCGCGGATCTGTCGATGGGAGCCATCTTTGGGGAAAAGGAGGGATGAGTAGGAGGAGGAGGAGGAGGAGGAGGAGGGGGAGGAGGAGGAGGAGGAGGAGGAGGAGGAGGAGCCTCTTAGGGGGGCCTTCCGGAGGCCTTCAGGGCGCTCTCTGGGGGCCCGCTCGTGCCCCCCTCTTGGGACCCTCGGCGGTCTTGGGGGCGCTCGCGGGGCCATCTCGGCGGCCACCGATCTAAGAATGGGGGCTCTTGATTAGGGGTCCCCCCCTCGGGAGCCTAAAGAATCAGGAGGAAAAGAAACACACAGACACAATTAATCGTCGATTCCCAGGAAAATATGGGAAAATATGGGAAGTGGGTTGGAAGACAACAACCCAGAAAATATGGGAAAATATGGGGCACATTTTTATTTGTGTGTATTTATTTGTGTGTCCTGGGGCCCCTTCAAAGAACGCCTCTTGGGGCCGCATTGGATCGCTCTTTGGGCCGTCCTGGGCCCCTCTTGGGCCCCTCGTTGGGCTCTCGTGGGCCAGATTGGACCGTCTCGAGGCTTCCGTGGCCCATCGGAAGCGAACATGCGAGATTGCACAACACACTGATTTTTCCTGATGGGGTTGGAAGGATTTTAGCCTTCGGGGGAGGTCCGTGGGATGTTTCGTGGCCACTTAAGGCGTTATTCGGGCCTCTTGGAGGCATCCTGGGGGCTATCTTCATCCATATCGGGCTATCTGTCTTGCGCGACATTGGAAGCCATCTCGGGCTACCTGATGCTCTCTCAGGGCCATCTTGCGCCATATCGGACGCTCTCACCCCTCGCGACTCTCCCACCAGACCCAGGGGAGAAAGGGGGTATGGGGTTGAAGAACTATCTTCCCATAGGTGAATGAGGAGGTTGAAACAGCTCACTTGCTAAACCACCTGCTCTCCAAGGGCTGGCGGTATTCAGCCAAAAGCAAACGTCATGTGGCATGTATCGCGCATCTTTCTGCGATGGCCTGCTCCCGAGCGACCCCCCGAGCTCTCAACCCATCCAGCCTCGAGTTGACTGTGAGAGAGTGGATGACGAGCTGGATGACGACCAGGACGAGGCAGAAGCCTCGTCCGCCCGCGCCGCGAGGAAGCTGATGAGCGCCCCCCTGTCCAAGGACGGCAGAGCGGCAACGCGCGGGCACCTCCGGGGTGGGTGGCAGCACAACAGAAACATACACTTTTAGAGTGGCCCAACGGGCACACAAATAGATAGATACAAATCCCAAGAGTCCCCATCCTTGACCAGATGTTTTGGGTTTTCGTCTTCCCTCCACTTCCCATATTTCCCCATCATTTCGAGGGAATCGACGGTTGAAGAAGGGGCCGGCAGCAGGGGGAGGAGTTCGGAAGGAGGGGGTTGGAAGTCACCGAGCGCGTTCCACTACTCACAAAGTGCCTACTCGCAAGCGTCCGGAACACGTCTGTTTGACTCGGTGTGATACATCGTAGACCCCTCGCGGCGGATCCAGGCCATTTACGAGTAGTTATTGTGCGAGGAGTGGAATGCGCTTGTTCAGGAAGGGACGTGGCAAAAAGAGAAGGAGGAGGCCGTGGAGAGGGTAAGGAGGAGAGGGCAGGAAGGCAGAAGTGCCCCGGCGTAAGCCCGGCCCTCTAGAGCAGGCCGGCGTCGCCTCTTGAGGCCGCCCCGTGCATCAGGTGGCCTGTCTTCTTGTGGTGGTAGTGCTGGGCAGTGGTGATGGTGGCGCAGGCGGTGGTGGCGTAGGGGGTTGTCGTCGCGTTGGCGTTGTGGTTGGGGCGGAGGTGGAGGCGGATGTTACGGCGCTGGCTGTGGTACCGGTGGTCTCAGACGGCTTTGCTGCTTGAGGCGGGGGTGGTAATGGTGGTAGTAGTGGTTGCGGAGGTGGCGGCGGTGGTCCTTGTCTTTCCCTTCCTGCTCAGGATGGCCCGCTCCTAACACTGGAGAGCAGGGCTCGCTCTCGAGTGCACCTGTCGCACTGAGTTCTGGTGCAGCTGACCGCTTTCGTGCCTTAGTGGCATAGACTCTGCGAGTGCGTCACCACGATGTTGGATTCAAGAAGTGGTCGTGGTGGCGGAGGCGGAGGCGGAGCGTGTGCTGTGGTTGCGGTAGTGGTGCTCCATGTGGAGGTGGAGGTGTCGGTTTCTTTCGACCAAGAAACCAATCGAGACCACCCCACCTACGACCCGCTGGGTCAAACTTGGGTCGTAGGCGGGGTGGTGTCATAGGTGGGTCGTAGGTGGCTGTAGTTGGGCCAGTGCCTAAACGTTCAACATCGCTGGGTCGTAGGTGGGGTGGTGTCGTTTGGTTGCTGCCCCATTGCTATTGATGCCTCAGAGTGAGTGTTTTCAGGGGTCCGTGCGGGATTATCTGTGTGCTTTTAAGGGGTGTCGTGGACATTTGGCAGGGCATTACCGAGATGTATCCTGTGTGTGCGAAAGTAGCGAGCAGACAGACCAACTGTCTTGGCAGGGAGGGTGCTTCTCTTTGTGAAAAGGGACCTGCTCTGCTTGTCAGAGCTTCCGTTCCTGGCCCATGGCAATCCAGATTGGACACAGTCGTGTAAAAGCCCAGGGTTCTGCCCAGCCCAGCGCACCTGCCTCTGTGCACGCTGATCTCTGTACTGCAGCGTACTCGCAGAGCACGGCACATCGCAACGCTACCCTGGCGTTGCAGTGTGTTTCTTAGTCCCGCTACTGCTCCGCACCTTTTCGTTACCTCGGCGCCCGCGGACGCGCGGCGCGGGAGAGCCGAGTTTGGGCTGCAATATTCAACGAAAACGTTCCACTGCTCGCAAAGTGCCCACTCGCAAACGTCAGAAAACATAAGCACGCATGTTCGGCTCGCTGTAGTTGATCGGGCATCCCCCGCGGCGGCTCCAGGCCACTTGCGAGCAGTCCCCCTGCGAGCCGTGGAACGCGCTTGGGCCAATCTATGGCGACCTCTTCAGCGCAGGAGGCCTGGGAGGGACGAGGGCGGCGCGGGGGCTGCGGGCCAGCACAGCGCTCAGACCGCGGAGGCCTCCGCGCCGGCGTGGCGGCCCGGGCTCCGAGGCGGAGCAGTGCGGAGGAGGGCGGCTCGTGCCGCGAGCGGCCGGGGAGCGGCGCAGTGCGCCCCTTGCCGGGGGTGCGAGCAGCGGCGTAGCGCCTTGGCCTGCCTGCAGCAGGACTCGTTTCGATGCTGTGCGAGCGCCGTGCCACTTCCGGCTTTTCTCTTGGGGGGATCCCTTCGACGCGCGCTCGCTTGGGCCTCATTCGGTTCGATTCGGTGTCGGTGGCTGCCGATTCCGCTTCAGTTCGGCTGCGGATTCCGATCGGGGCTCTGATTTCTTACCAGAGGCCTACCAGCCTGCCGATTTCCGCCGATTCGACTTTTCCCGGCTCGGCTGCCGATCTTCGGCGATGCGATTCATTTCGATCGCCGATCCGATTCTGGGGGCGCCTGCCTATAGTCCCACCAAAGAATGTTCTGAGACCCCTCGGTGGTTTGCACGAAGTGCTTTTGGAACATTTCTGGCAGGGACTGTCTTGTCTTAATCATGACTTTTATGGTCTAAGATCATTTTGGTATTTTTAGAATTTTGTCTTGTTCTGCGAACATTTCGTGGTAGACCTAAAGAAATGCCGGGGCGGTCGGTTCCTGCTCAAAGGGTGCTGGAGAGGTGGCCGTCCGAGATCTGGTTCCAGCCCTTATGGTGGAATCCGTAGCTTGAGCCACATGTGTTGCACCCAGTGCTCTGTGGAGAACAGTACGTTGGTGCCCAGGCCGATGTCACGTTCGTTGTATTCTTGTCTGTGTTGCTGTTATTTCTCCCAGGGTTACTGCTTCCATTATAACTGGCGCCGCTGCTGTTGCATTCTGCTGCTCACTGCCAGCAGCTAGTCGTGCCACGACAATATTCCTTATCCTGGATTGCGCCATCCCACTGGTCTTATTGAGAGGCGATGCAAGAAAATGTGGGGTGTGGAAGGGGTTGCCGAGGTCCCCTTGTGGGTTTGGCAATGATTCTGAGACTGTCGGGAGGCAGTCGCGGGGTGATGGGGATTGAGCCCTTGGGAGACCACTTGTGTTTGTGTGTCCTCTTGCGACCACGTTGGGGCAGTCTTCGGGGCTGTCTTGAGGCCGTTCTTGGCTTACGGCCGCAGTGACGAGGGCCGTTCGGAGGCCCAAACCACGGGCGAAAGATTCCATACATTGTCGCGAATCTTCAAGGGAGGAAGAACCACCCGGACCGGACAATTGGCGTTTACTAAACGGCCTTGGGCGTTTACTAAACACTAAACACCCCTGCCCTGTTCGATTCCTCCTTTTGGCGCGTTTGCTAGACGACTTCGCGTGTCGGGGTGGTTATTATGGGGGTGGATTCCTGTACTTCTAAATCACTCCTCCTTCGTCGTCGTCGTCGTCTTCTCGTTGGCGTTCGGGCCATAACCAGGCACCTGTTATAGACGCATATGGTGTTCTGGAAGGCTCTCGACGACGCGCAGCTGACAGAAAAAATACAACGGCCCAGGAGTTTCCGATCGCATCGGACACCCGTGGAACCTCCTCCCACCTGTTCCAAGGCGCAAAGAAGAGGAGGATGAGAAGGGAGTATCGGCGGAGAAGGGTGAGGGAAGGAGGAGGAGGAGGAGAAGGATGATGATGTTGATGATGATGATGAGGACGAGGAGGAGGAGAAAGGGGGAGGAGGGGGGAGAAGGAAGATGATGACGGTGATGAGATGGTTGATGTTGATGGTGTGGGTGTGTTGGTGATGATGACGATGACGATGGTGATGATGACGATGACGATCGTGATGATGGTGATGATGATCAGCGACGGCGATGCTGATACATATGACGATGTTGATGTTGGTGATGACGGCGACGATGGTGACGATGCTGATGATGATGATGGTGATGGCGGGGGTTGTGGTGGTGATGATGATGCGTGATGGTGGTGATGATGTTTATGATGCAGCTGATGATGATGATGATGATGATGATGATGATGATGATGATTATTCGGATGCGCCTGCTGACGATGATGAACAGGAGTAGGATAGCGATACACATGACAACGATTGTGATTTTGTTGATGCCGCAGATGATGACGATGCTGATGACGACGATCATGATGCAAATGGTGACGACTATCAGTAAGTTGATGATGATGATGATGGTAGTGATTGCGATGCCGACGACTATGACGCTTATGACGACGACGATGACGATGACGATGACGATGCTGATGATGATGATAATAATGCTTATGCTGATGATGATTATGACGATGATGCTGGTTATGATGACGATGATGATTCTGATGAGGTTGATGTTCATGACGACGAGTATGATGCTGATGATCGTGATGATGCTTATGCCGATGATGATGATGGTGGTGTTGGTGGTGATGCGGATGATGCTGATGATGATGCTGCTGCTGATGATGATGATGATAATGATGATGAGTATGCTGTTGATGCTGTTGCTGATGCTGCTGCTATTGATGATGATGATGCTGCTGATGATGATGATGATGATGATGATGGTGATGCTGATTATGGTGGTGGTGATGATGATGATGATGCTGATGATGATGATGATGATGATCCTGATTCCGATGATGATGGTAATGGTGTTGGATGTGATGGTGGCAATGAGGCCTAGGAGAGGTGGGAATGGGGCGGATGGAGGCGGGGGGAGGCGGGAGGGGGGAGGGGGTGAGGAGGGATAAGACCAGGGAGGAGGAGGAGGAGGAGGAGGAGGAGGAGGAGGAGGTGGAGGAGGTGGAGGAGGAGGAGGAGGAGGAGGAGGAGGAGGAGGAGGAGCAACAATGACGACGAGGACGCGCGCTTCCACCGAGAGGACCTCCGCGCCAAGTACTCGGTGCGCTCCCTGCCCATCCGCCGCGACGACGAGGCGGGCCCGCCCTTCGCCCGTCGTCTTCGTGGTCGTCGCCGTCATCGTCGTCGTCGTTGTCGTCGTCGTTTGTCGTCCGTCGTCCGGCGTCCGTCGTCCGTCGTCCGTTGTCGTCGTCGTCGTCGTCGTCGTCGTCGTCGTCGTCTTCGTCGTCGTCATCATTGTCATCGTTGTCGTCTTCGTCTTCGTCGTCCGTTGTCTAGCGTCGTCCGTCGTCCGTCGTTCGTCGTCCGTCGTCCGTTGTCGTCGTCTTCGTTCTCGTCGTCGTCCTCGTCGTCGTCGTCGTCTTCGTTGTCGTCCTCGTCGTCGTCTTCGTCGCCGTCGTCGTCGTCGTCGACGCTCTGTCTTGGACACTGCAGGCGTCGGGGCAGGCTGCGAGGCGTGAGGAGGCCGAAGTGAGAACGGAGGCCCCGGTCCGCACGGGGCGTGCGCGGGGCGGTCCCGGGGTTGTCCCGTGGTTGCCCTGTGGTTGTCCCGCCGTCGTCCCGTGGCTGTTCCGCGGTTGTCTCGTTTGTGGATGGGTTGACTTCTCGGGAGCGGCCAGGAGGGGGCCGATGACGGTGTGTGTGCGTGTGGACATCATGGCGGGGGCCATGATGTCTCTCCAGACTTCGTGGCGCCTCCTCTTCCTTCGATGCGTCCCTGGCCCCCCCCCCTCGGCCGCGCACATGCCGCCGGCCGTGGTTTGCGCCTCTCGCTCTTGGACGCCCGCCTCTTGGCCGCCCCCGAGCTTCGAAACCGATGCAGTCGAGATGCTGAAGCAAGGAGCAGCTCGGGTTCGGCAGGGGCTCGCTGTTCCTCGGGTCCCGTGGCTGTTCCTCCAGCCTTGCTCGTGCACCCAGGCGCTTTGAGGGCCCTCCTCCTCCTCCTCCTCCTCCTCCTCCTCCTCCTCCTCTTCGTTCCTTCTTTCAGCAGCCCGAGTGCAGATAGCTGGTGAGGTATACCGAGGGGCGCGTCGATACGTGCCAGCGCCGCATGGTCAGCCTTCTGATGCGGGTGCCGCGTCAGGATGGCGAGGAAGCGCCGGCACATTTCCGCAGAAGGGCCCGGGAGGCCAAGGACCTCTGTGAGCAGAAGCGTTGGTGGAGCCCTAGTCACTGCACCTACTCGGGGGCTCAGCCGGCGCGAGCATCTTGAGCGGCCGCGAAGCCGTCGTGCTTGGGCGGCGCAGCTAGCACACTGGCAAGGCGAGCGTTGGCTCCAAGATCGAAGAACGCAGCTGAACAGCTACAGTCAACCATGCTAGTAAGGATGGGGCAACTTTCCAAGGCTACCCTTGCATCCTTGCCCCTTCGGTATTCGGCATCCTTCGGCATTCTGCTGCGCTCCGCACGGAAAACGTCAACATGGCGTTCCAAGGCCATTGCATCCTTACCGCGCATCTTGGTCGAGGGTACAGCGTTCATTCAGGACACACGGATACGAGAGTGGCGGCCCGTCGTCCACGACAGCGGTGGCATGATGGAGCCCGGTTTGCTTTAGAGTACATGTTGCTCGGCTCGCGTGCCGTTGTTCATCTTTTTTTTGTTCCCTCTCCCCCTCACATGGGCTCTGCGTCTTTCAGTTGACCAGCTGTTTTAGCGAGCAGTGCGTTTGTTTGACGATTTTCTTCGCGTGGTGTGTTTTGCGCACGCTTCCTGCGGTGTCATCCCGTCATCTGATTCTGATTCTGACATATCGAGATATGGTAGGTGAGATCAATCGATTGATAGGGAAGCCGATACCTAGTCAGACCGATGTGCGCTTTGATAGTGGGATCGACGAATAGGTAGTGGGACTGATCGTAGGACAGATCGTGAATCCGACCCGACATCAATCGCAAGCCGAGAGTTGCACCCCTCCCCCCAAACCTCCCTACCACCCACAGGGTGATCTTATGTGTTTTGATGGGTTATCTTGTTCAGCCAAAGCTTATTTGCTTTGTTAGATCTGATTGCGTTTTGTTGGGTGTCTCATGTGTCTTGTTGGATCTTCTTGTGTTTTGCTGCGGGGCCCTTCGTCGCCACGGCTGCATTCACGTCGAGAAGCTCAGGCCAAAACGCGCCCGGGGGTCCCCGGCGCCGTCGTCGCCCCCTGGTGTCAGGATAGTGTTCAAGGGGGGAGGTGTCTTTCGGCTTGCACAGCCCAGAGTCAGGCGATCGCAGACATGGATCAAGCGGGCGCGGATTGGCGACGGGTCCCGTTTCCATGGAGAATCGCGGGTTTTCGCCGCCGAACGAGGCGGCACCGGTTGCATTTTGGGAAGGGCACCTCCCCCCATCCACGGATTTGGCGACCGCGCGCCAAATCCATGGAGCGCAAATCCATGTTTGCGCGCCCCCGACAGCCTAGAGGGTGGCTGGCCTCTGCAGTCACACAGGGCGTAGGGCTCGCCCGTCCTGCAGGGGGGCCTGGGGGATCCCCCTCTGAGGGGGCTCCGGATTGGTTGTGAGGGACAGCGGTGAATCAAGCCCTGTCCGAGGTCACCGCATCACGACGGTGAGGAACAGCACCACTTCAAGCTTACCCAAGGCAGCGCAATCCAACGTGGGGCACCAACTCGTAGTACGCTTCGCTCGATGAAGCCGCACGACGACGGTGAACAACACGTAGAATCAAGCTTTACCTGAAGCGCGATGACACCGCATCGTGAGTGTGAGGCACAAAAGTCGGAGCAATCAGCTCCACCCGAAGAAACTGCCTCACGACTGCGAGGCACAACATCGTATCAAGCTTCACTCGAGGAAGCCGCATGCCGACTGTCAACTTCTGCCAGCATCAAACTTGGAGTAAACTTGAGAGACAAACAGTAATCTTCTCCTTCATGTGTATAGGGAGAGAGAGAGAGAGAGAGAATGGCGGCTTGGGTAAGACAGAACGGACAGGAGGCATCAGTGGACTCGAGACCACAGTTGGACGGCGCAAGACATTGGAGTCAAGTGATGCCGTCTAAGAGGCTTTGACGAGAGGCTGCATGGAGGAGGAGGAGGAGGAGGAGGAGGAGGCACGAATGTCTCACCAATGCCAGAGAACGGTGAGAGTGGCACAGGTACAACATCATAGGAGGTGGTGCGGGCAGGGCCAGCAGCGCTGCAGCCGACCTATCTTGTGGAGGTGAATGCACCTTGTGAATGTGTGTGGTTTGTATGCCAGACCGCCAGCATTGCCGCCGGGCTGTGTCAACAACCCGGGTCACCGAGCGCGTTCCGCTTCTCGCAGAGTGACTATTCGCAGACGTCCGAAAAAACATAGGTCTGCCTCGATGTAGTGTGTCGTAACTCCTCCTCGGCGGAACCAGGTAATTTGCGAGTAGTCACTTTGCGAGTGGAACGCGCTCGCCTACCGGCGGGGGGGGAGCAGCGGGAGGATTCGAGGCGGGGATTTATCCAGAACCACCGCGTGGAGGATGGATCTTCCGAAGCCTCGGCAGGCGGTGGATGTGGATATATGCGGGCCCCCACTGGGCCAAAAGACATCCATGTCCACCGCCCGGGGAATCCCAGGACGTCGGTTCCACAGGCGGTGGATATGGACATATTTCCGAATCGCAGAGGAGCAGGCTTCCCTCATCCTCTTCCTCCCCTCCCTCTCCTCCTCCTCGCGGGCGCGCTCTTCCGCGCGCAAGTGCGCGCGCGGCGTGGAGTATGTGGTAGGTGTTTCTGGAGGTTGGCGGATGTTTCTGGGGGCTCTGGTCGGAGGAGCAAGAGATCATAATAATGACACGTTACAGTCAACCATGCTAGTAAGCATGGGGCAATTTTTCAAGGCTACTCTTGCATCCTTGCCCCTTCGGTATTCGGCATCCTTCGGCATTATGCTGCGCTCCGCACGGAATAACGTCAACATGGCGTTCCAAGGTTTTTGCATCCTTACCGCGCATCTGTACTATCCTGGTCGAGTGTATAGGACTTCAAGGGGTTCTGGGAGTTCTACTATCCCCACACGTTCCACACGGGCTCCAGAAACGAGGGCCGCTGGATACTGTGGGATCTTGAAGCGTATCCTGAGCCAGTCCTACTGTGACATCATCTTCGCTGGGGCCCGCGGGCGTTTTCCAATAGCTGCACCTTGTCGAGAGCCTGCGCGAAGCCCAAGTCGTTTTAAGCTGTCGTTGGAGGCTCGAACCATGGCCCGAGAGCGGGACGGAGGACGACGGCGCGGGAGGAGTCAAGGAGGAGGGATTGATGGGCCTGTTTTCCACCACCACCACCATCAGTTAGAGGGGGGAAGGAGGCGGAGGAAGAGGAGGATGAGGAAGAAGGAGAGGGGGAGAAGGACCCCCCCCCCAACTTATGGTGGTGGTGGTGGTAAACAGGCCCATCAGGGAGTCTGGCGTCTTCGGTTTTGTTTTCGGGCTTCCTGGGAAGCCCTCCTCGCTGCACTCCAGGAGACATCCAAGGACGGGTTTTGATGGAACGAGGGCGACAAAAGACGAGAGGAGCAAGGGGAAAAGGAGGAGGAAGAGGGAAGACGGATTCTGACCTGGAAGGCCGTCGTCGCCAAGGCTTGATCTCCTCGGCATCCCGGAGAGGGGCCTGGAGAGGGGCCTAGGAGCAGTCTCTGATGCTTGCGCCGACGAGGACGAGAACCATGACGACGGTGACGGCCCTGAGATCCAACGTCATGGAAAATCACAGGACGTACATATCGGTCGTTGATAGTAGGTATTTTTGGGTTCCCGGATTCCAATCTACTTCAATGATCGAGTGGTCTCCCCTCTTCCGTCCTCGTTTAGGGGGCGGACGGGACCAAATTTACTTTCAACGCCTTCCTGCTTCGGGTTTCTACCTACTTCCTCCGACCGATGGGTACCGTCAGTCTCCACCCACCAAACCACCCCAACCCAACCCGAAGGGTCTGATTTACCCTCGATTTCCAGTGGGGGGGGTTCGCGGAACATCGAAAAAACACGTACGGAACCCTTACCCCCCCCAACCCGAAATTCGGGTCTTCGGGTTGGGTTGGGGTGGTCTGGTAGGTAGTCATCACCGACCACCCTGGACTCTCGGGGGGGCCCGGTGTTCGGTGCGCTCCCTCGACCTGCGGCCGTGGAGCCTCTGCTGCCGGCCGAGGCTCAGGGGCCACGAGGGCTCCTTCGTTCCTTAGTATAAATAAATAAATACATCAATAAATAAACAAATAAATATATAAATTGTTTGCGTAGTGGATCGGCTACTCCGGATCTCATAATATTGGGGGGGGGTCTACTTTTTTTTGGGGGGTCTAACGGGCCTCGTCGAACAGGATTGCGGGGGGGGGTCTCGATTTCGGACCCTCACCTGCCTCCCAAGGGGGGGTCTACTTCGGGTTGTCATGCAGATCGTTGGGGGGTCTACAATTTTTCGACATTTGATGATGTCTTTGGGGGGGTCCAGCTCCACGCCAGTCCTGATGTCTTTCACCCCCAACTTGATTCTTCCGTGTAACCTGCAACAGATAGGTTTCACGCTTCGTAGATCTAGGAGCGTGATTCGCATGTCTTCGTAGATTCGACGAGAGAATCAAGCTTGGAATGAAGCAGTTCTGTAATCGATCCCCTGTTCGATTTGTAGCACGATGGCTCTTGCGGAAAACATGGTGCCATCGGCCCCGTCTTTCCGCGGCACCCCTCGAGCCAGATTGATCCGCGAGAGTGCCCGTTGTTTCACGTCTGAGGAGCGGACGACGACGACGAGGACGACGACGAGGAGGCGACGGTCGCCGCTGTTCGGACTCTGGCGGCCCCGAGGTGATGATCGTCCGCGGGCACTACCACGACCGCGAGGGCAAAGTGACGCAGGCCCCTCGCCGGCTTCTGGGTGCAGTTCCTGGAGGCTCCTCCTTCTGGGTCTTCGGGCAATTTTGTGGGCTCCTGGTGGCCCCGGTCCCATGCAGGAGGAGGAGGAGGAGGAGGAGCAGCACGAGGAGGAGCAGCACGAGGAGGAGGAGGAGGAGGAGGAGGAGGAGGAGGAGGAGGAGGAGGAGGAGGAGGAGGAGGAGGAGGAGGGAGGAGGAGGAGGAGGAGGAGGAGGAGGAGGAGGAGGAGGAGGAGGAGGAGGGGTGCTTTCAGTCCGCTGCGCCTCGTCGACAACAGTCAGCGGACTTTTGGAAGTCCGCGCGGATGTCCCGTGTCGGCGCCGGGCTACCGTCCCATAGCGTGCGGAGCCTGCTTCGGGGCGTCGCCTGGGGCGCCGCCCCGGGTGGTGGGGGCGAGGTCCGGCGCCGACGCGTGGAAGCCGCGCTGGCGTCCGAAAATTGCTGCTCGGTTTCTGTCTTCGCATCTTTCGGGCCGAACGAAAAAAGGGGGTATAGGGAAAGGGGGGTACGAAATCTGCTGCACGCAGCTGGTTTCAGCCCCACCGAGGGGCCCATTCCTCGAAACATGGCCGCCTCCAGCGCCGGCAGGCGCCGGGAAAATCAGCTACGTGAGCTGATTCTCACCCCCCCCCTTTGCTATCCCCCCCTTTCGCCAGGCCCGAGTCTTGAATCCGCGGTTCCCGGCCACGGTGCCCTGGACTTCTCGGGCTTGAGCACGCCTGGAGCGACAGCCGGGTCGTCCTCCTCTCCGCCGCCGCCGCTGTCGCCCTTTGGCTGGCCAGCCTCGTCGCCAAGCCTGCGCGGGTCGCCGTCGTCGCGCCGCCGTCGTCGCGCTGCCGTCGCCGTCGTCGCCGTCGTTTCCGTCGTCGTCGTCGCCGTCGTCGCCGCCGTCGTCGTCGTCGTTGTTGTCGTCGTCGTCGTCGCCGTCGTCGCCGTCGTCGTCGTCGTCGTTGTTTGTTGTCTTCGCGCCGCCGTCGTCGCCCGCCGCCGCCGCCGCCCGCCGCCGCCGCCCGCCGCCGCCGCCGCCGCTGTAGTCGTCGTCGTCGTCGTCGTCGTCGTCGTCGTCGTCGTCGTCGTCGTCGCCGTCGTCGTCGTCGTCGTCGTCGTCGTCGTCGTCGTCGTTCATCCCGCCAGCCGTCGTCCAAAAATGGTTTCCCCCACGACGAAGGAGACTACAGTCGGACCTAGATCTAAGACCGAGGTCGGTTCGGGGAGGGTACCCTGGTGTTCTTTGTATTTGTTGAATGTTCTTGTGCATCCTGGGGAGGTTACCCTTGGATGTCCTGTGTGTTTTGGCCGGCCGAGGGTCCTCATGTTCTCGAGTGATGTTCGTCTGACCCAAATCCGACTGCAGTTCACGAAAAGACGGGGCTGCTTCGCGACATGACGGGACTGATCCACGACAAGGGATGAAGGAGCGGGAGGCGAAAGCGGGAGGTAAGCGAAGGCGTGAGAGGCCAAATCGGGAGGCCAGCGAACGCGGGAGGCCAGCGAGAGGGGGAGGCGAAAGCAGCAAGGGGTGTGCAAGCCAGGGGGTGCGAGCGCGGGCGGCGAACGCGGACGCGGGAGCCGAGCGAGCGCGGCCGAGCGGGAGTCCCGAGCGAGCGCAGGAGGCGGGCAGACGTTCGGGAGGCTCCCCGCGGGCAGGGCGGGCGGGCGGTGCAGTGCGCCACTCCCCGCGAGGGCTGCGCTCGGCGTCGGGCCTCCTCCTCCTCCTCCTCCTCCTCCTCCTGCTCCTCCTCCTCCTCCTCCTCCTCCTCCTCCTCCTCCTCCTCCTCGTCCTCCTCCTCCTCCGGTCGTCGGAGAGCAGTCGAGGGGCCGTCTCGGGGCCGAGCAGAGCGCCCTTTCGTCTTCGCAGTCATGTGCGTCTTCGTAGTCGTTTTCGTCGTCGTGCTCGTCTTCGTCTTGGTCTTCGTCTTCTTCGTCGTCTTCGTCTTCGTTGTCGCCACCCTCGTCGTCGTCGTTCTCGGCCCCAAGACCAAGACGGGCACCAAAACGAACCCAAGGCCGAAGCGCGGCGCCGGAGATATGCATCGGATGTACACGGCAATGTCCTGTGACCCTGGCATCCCGCTGACTGGAGGTGATCCGAACGCCTGGGGCCTGGGGCCCCTGCGCCGTCCGGTGGTTGACTGTCCAGTGAGTTCTTCGGGATTTCGAGGTCATCGGACCATCTGTCGCCAAACGGTTTTGGGACCCTGGGGAAGTTGGGCGCTGGCTACTCGTTCGGGGGTGCCCACAGCGCTGAGTCCGTGCCACGAAAGCGCAGCTGCTTGGGAGCACTTGTCCCAGGTTGAAGGCCTCGGATGATGCCTGCGAAGACCACCCCCGCCAGGCGTCCGGATGTGTGGCCAGTCCACCCTCCGGCAGGATTGCGACGGCGCGGCGCCACTCTCCGAGGGGGCCGACTCGGCAGCGTGCCGCGCTTCCGCCGGTCTGGGAGCGCGGGAGCTCCTCGCCGCCAGCTCGTACAACTACAGCTCGGGCACGTGCGCCCCGCTCACGCTCACGATCGGGCGTTGCGTACTGGGGGGGGCGATGATTGGGGGGGGGTGCTAGCGGCGCCCTAGACCCTAGAGAGCCCCCTGGGGCCCAAAAGGAGCACGAGAGGTGTCCGTTTCTTCCCCGCCCCCCCTGCAATATTGAGCAACGCCCGACCCGAGCTCCAGCAGCAGTGTCCGCACAAGGAACACGCTGACAACCACGCGCGGGGCAACTGCTCGACCTCCCCGCCATCGGGCTCGGCGTGGACGGCGCGGTCATGTCTCGCCCGGCAGCGGCGAGGGCCAGATCCGGGCGGACGCCCTCGGGGTGCACCCGCGGTATCATGTAGACTCGGAGAAGTACCTCGCCCTCGGGCTGCACCCAGGGTATCACTCACCGAGCGCGTTCCACTGCTCGCAAAGTCCTACTCGCAAATGTCAGAAAAAGAGAACCTGTCCGCCTCGTTGTGATGGATCAAACATCCCCCGCATCGGATACAGGCCATTTGCGAGTAGTTCCTTGGCGAGTCGCGGAGCGCGCTTGTCTAATCACGGAGACTCGGAGAAGTACCTCCTGGTGCGTCTCATTCCGGCGGCGGGGACGACCGTCTATGCCAGTGGCGAGATCTCCGAGCTGGGCGCAGACCCGTGGCGGCCTCGAGGCGTTCGTGAGCGTCGGGGGAGTTCAGACGTCGTCGACCTTTTCGATCAAGAACGACGCGCCGTGGTCATTCAGCGGGGGCGCCCCCACGAGCGCCCCAATCGAAGTGCACATCGGTCCAGGAGCGGCTTACTATTGCGACAACCCGCACAGAGGCATGTCAGCGCTTGGGTCAATCTGCCCGCCCCCCGTCATGCCTAGCCCGACGCCCACCGCGGTCGCGCCATCTGCTGTCGGCGATCCCCACCTGCAGAACATTCATGGTCAGCGATTCGACTTGAAGAAGTTGGGCAAGCACGTTTTGATGAGCATTCCTCGTGGAGAGCGCGCTGAACAGACACTGCTGCGCGTGCAGGCCGATGCGCGCCAATCGGGTGGACATTGTGTGGATACGTATCTCCAGGTCTTGAACATTACGGGGTCTTGGGCAGAGGCAAAGCAAACTAGAGGGTGCCATTGCAGCACATCGCATGGTGATGCCTGGACTCCCGGGAGGGCTGCTAAAAGTCGTCAGTGGACATCGGGCCAGTGGCCTGCGCTATTCAAACGTGCACTTTGAGCATTGGGGGCGATCAGGTTTTGCTGTCAGAGGCCTGCTGGGGGACAATTACGGGGACGCAATCATTCCTCTGTTGTCGTGCGCGTGCCAGGAAGATGTCTCTTCTGAAGACTGCGGGAGTGGCCAATCGGGCTTCCTCAGGGCTTGCGGTAGCAGTGGCAAGTTTGTGAGGCAAGTTCTCCGCCCCACCGTCGTGCACACTTCATCGCTCGTCTTTCCAGGACCTGCCGCCAGAAGCGAAGGGCACCAGCCCTTCTTTACAGGGGGATGAGGATTGCGTATCTTTGCCCTTTGGCCTGGGGTGTGCAAGGAAGGTTGTGCCGTGCAGCGCCGACCATCGCTATGCAGGACCTCTCTGCGCGATTCCTTTTTCAAGTACTTTTAAGGGGTCCACGTCTGGCATGCGCAACCGCCCGCAGGTGCGACCTCGTGACTGTCCTTTGCGTTCGGTGACTCCTTGCTGGAGCCCGAACTGCAAGTTCCTTCACCTGTGGCATTGGATTCGTGGAGAAGGCAAAGCGAGTGAGTCCAGAGTTGTTGCTTTTGTGAAAACCAGAGCTGTCTTCAAACAATACACCCTGGTGGCAGAACGTCTTCCCGGCGGCCGAAAGTCCTTGGATGCCGAGTTGTCATCCAGTATTTGTGGAAACATGTTAGCCAGCGTGTTCCCCAAGCAGTGCATTTAGGAGGCGAGCACTACGTGGTGTAAGCTATGTGATGAACGCTATGTCGTGTAAGAAATTTGGTGTGAGTCATGGAGGTGCAAGCTATGCGGCGCAAGCTCTGCGGTGTGAGCTATGTCGTGTAAGCTAGGCTGTGTGAACTGGAAGGGGGAACGATCGGGTGGAAGCTGTGTGGTGTAACATATGGTGTTCTATTCACCAACGCTCAACTTAAAGTTGTCCGCTCCACTGCTCGTGCAAACATCTCACCCACCCACCCGCAACTTGGTTTGCAACCCCCATGCGGAAGCGATTGCGATGAGTGCTTAGTGTTGGCTGGTGCGTCTCTGCGGCCGCGCTGGCCCGCGCATGCTCGCGTGCGCAACGGCCAGCTAGTTCGGCGCGGGCGACGCGAACGCGGTGGCGCTGACCGTTCGGCACATCCCAGCAGGCACTCCAGTGCGAGTCGGCGACTTGGGCGGGCGCGGTGTCATGGCAACGTCGACACCGGTAGACACGATGATGCTAGTAGCGATGCTGGCGACGATGCTGACAGCGACGACGGGGCAGTCAGTGATGGCGCCGATGCTGATCACGCCGACGACGATGACGGCGTCTTCGCGTCGGTGATGAAGAAGGTTTTGGAATGAATTCGACATGCGCGCGCGGCAGACGCGCGAGAGTGGCTCGCATGGTATTATTTGACACGGATCGTTCCACCCCAGCACGCGCGCATGGGCGTTCGAACGATTTCGACAGGCGCGCGAAGCCCGTTCGGTAGCGTTCTCTGAAAAGAAAGGTCGAACAACCGAGGGTGTTCTTAAGAATTCGCAAGAGCGCGCACGATTTTGTTCAACCTCCGTGTTGCGAAACGTTCTTTGCTTAGACAATGTTCGATGGCCATTCGATTTTGAAATCCTTCCGAAACCTACGGTTTTTGAAGGATGTCGGCATGCGCGCGCGACGACGCGCGCGTGTTCACTTCGTCTCGTCTTTCGCAAAGGACTCTCGCGACGGCACGCGCGCAAGGGCGTTCGAACGATTTCGACATGCGTGCGCGAAGCCTTTTGGTACTTCTTTTGGTAAGGTTGAACAACCGAGGGTTTTCTTAAGCATTCGCAAGAGCGCGCGCACGCTCTAGTTGAACATCCGTGTTGCGAGACCTGGTGTTTCTTTGTATGTTCAATGGTACTCAATTTGAATCCTTTCGAAAACGAAGGCTTTTGGATAATTTTGGCATGCGCGCGCGACGCCGCGCGCGTGCGCACTTCGTCCCGCATTTTGCAAAAACGTTTCGCGATCGTGTATGGATGTCCGATCGAAGCGTGTAACGGATGAACCCCGGGGGGTGATGGGGGTAGAATCTGTTGGGCGTCGCGTAATGGGGGGATCGTACATGGGGGGGGCCAGGGTGGTCCGAAAACGTACCCATACGGTACCTAAACGAGCCCCCTGGGGCTCCGGAGGGGCCCGAAAAGGGGCACGAAAGGGGACCGTTTCTGACCCCCCCGTTTATGCCCCCCCACGAAGGGGGACCGTTAGGTCACGCCCAGATCTGATGTCTTTTGAGCGGGTAGTACACGCGGTGTGAGCCATGCGACGGCAGTGTGCCGTGCAGGCTCACGGCACGGGGGCGCCCACGAAGCGCCCGCGGGGCGGCACGGGCGGCGGCGTGGCGCGCCCTGGAGCAGAGAGGCCTCGCCCGGCGCACGGGGCGCCTGCGGAGCGCCCGCGGGGCGGCCACGGGCAGCGGCGTGGCGACGGCCCGGCAAGCCCGTCCGGTTTTTCTCTGAGGATCTGATCAGACCCAAGGAAAAAAGGGGGGGGCAGGGAGAGGGGGGTTAACGAAGTCTGCTGCATGCGACTGGTTTCGGCCCCGCCGCCGGGCCCATTCCTCGACACATGGGCGCCTCCCGGCGCCGGGAGGCGCCGGGAAATCAGCTACGCGAGCTGATTCTCAAACACGCCCTGTGCTATCCCCCCCTTTCGCCCGGCCCGATCTAAGGATCCGAAGTGAGAGTCCCCAAGCGCAATCACCATCAGGGGAATGTGGCACCCACCGCTATCGTTCGCCTCCCGCTCTCGCTCGCCTCCCGCTTTCGCTCGCTTCCCGCTTGCGCCTGGCTCCCGCCGTCGCTCGTCTCCCACTTTCGCGCGCCTCCCACTTTCGCCTCTCTCGATTTCGCTCGCCTCCAGCTTTGGCGCGCGTCCCGCTTTCGCCCGCATCCAACTTACGCGAGCCTCCTACTTGCGCTCGCCTCCCGCTATCGTTCGCCTCCCGCTTTCGCTCGCTTCCTGCTCCCTCTCGCCTGCTTTCGACTCCTGCTCTCGAGCGAAGGCGGGGGGCGACCGAAAAAGGGGGCGAGCGACAGCAGCATGCGATCGAAGGTGGGAGGCGAGCGAAAGTGAAGGTTGAGCGTAAGCGGGATGCGAGCGAAAGCGGCAGGCGAGCGAAAGCAGCAGGCGGGCGAAAGCGGGAGGCGCGCCAAAGTATGAGGCGAGCGAAAACATGGCGCGAGCAGCGAAACCGGCAGGTGAGCGAGAGCGGCAGTCGAGCGGAGGCGAGAGGCGCGCGAAAGCGGCAGGCGAGCGGAAGCGGGCGGCGAGCGAAAGCGGTAGGCGCCCGAAAGCGCGAGGTGTGTGTGTGTGTGTGTGTGTGCTCCTTCCTTCTTCTTTTGTTTGTCGTTGGACCGTCTCGTCTTGCCGCCGAGTCGTCTGTCGTAAGAGGGACGATCCCATGCCGTCGCCGCCGTCGCAACCGTCGTCGCTAACGACGTCGGTACCGCCGCCGTCGCCGTCGCCGTCGCCGTCGTCGTCGTCGTCGTCGTTGCCGTCGTGGTGGTCGTCGTTGTCGTCCTCATCTCCGCCACCGTCGCCGCCCTCCCCGCTGGCGCGGCGCTGGCGCGGCGCCAGCCAGCGGCAGGTCTACCGCAAGAAGTGGCGGATCCACATCGAGCGGGCGCGCGCCCCTCGGAGGAGACGGTAGGGTCCGACGCAGGCGTCTATACCCCAGGGTGCCAGGCCAGGGCCATCCTGGGCCCTAGGATGGTGTAAAGACCCTCCTGGCCTCGGTCAGGATGGCGTATACACCATGTCAGGGCCAGGATGGCCCTGGCCTGGCACGGTGGTGGTGTATAGATGCCTTCTGCGTACCATGGGGAGGGATACACGTGTCCAGGGCCCGCCTGGGACGCGGCCCGGGACGCCCGAAACGCCCAGGGACGCCCGGAACGCTGCCCTGGACGCCGGGGACGCCCTGGGAGCCGCCTGGGACAGGGCATCGTCGTCGTCGTCGTCGTCGTCGTCGTCGTCATTTGTCGTCGCCGTCGTGGTCGTCGTCGTCGTCGTCGTCGTCGTCGTCGTCGTCGTCATTCGTCGTCGTCGTCGTCGTCGTCGTCGTCGTCGTCGTCGTTGTCCTCTGTAATACGTTTCCCAGGGCATCCGTCGCAGTCAGGAGGCGGGAGTGTCCCGGTCAGGGGGGTCAGGAGGGCGTCCCCGCTCTCCCTGCGCTGGGGTCGCTTCGATTTCGATCAGATTCCGATCCGACTCGAAGCACGTTGCTCCGATTCGATTCCAGTCCAGCCTGCAATTTCCGAATTCCGAGCCGATGCGGCGATCGTCGATTCTAACCGATTCCAAAAGATTCGACGCGATTCCGATTTCGATCCGGCTTCGCGATTCGGTATTGGTCCTTACTGCCTGCAGGGGCGTCCGAGCCCCTCCTCGCCCTCCTCGTCCCGCCCTGTCCAGCCCTCCCTCCTCGTTGGCCCCCTCCTCCTCCTCCTCCTCCTCCTCCTCCTCCTCCTCCTCCTCCTCCTCCTCCTCCTCCTCCCTCCTCCCTCCTCCCTCCTCCCTCCTCCCCTCCCTCCTCCTCCTCCTCCTCCTCCCTCCTCCTCCTCCCTCCTCCTCCTCCCTCCTCCTCCTCCCCCTCCTCCCTCCCCCTCCTCCCTCCTCCCTCCTCCTCCTCCTCCTCCTCCTCCTCCTCCTCCTCCTCCTCCTCCTCCTCCTCCTCCTCCTCCCACTCCTGCTCATCCTCCTCATCCTCCTTTATCCTTCCCCTCCTCGATCCTCCTCCATCCTCCTCGATCCTCCTCCATCCTCTCCATCCTCCTCCATCCTCCTCCATCCTCCATCCTTCCTTATCCTCCATCCTCCATCCTCCATCCTCCTCCATCCTCCATCATCCTCCTGCAGGGGATGTGCCTCGCCCGTGTGCTGCTCATTCCGTGGCCCCGCAGGCCTGGCCCGCCCCTTCGCGCGCGCTGGCTCGCGCGCGCGAGGTGACGCGGGACAAGGCCAACGGGCAGACCGTGCCGATCGGCATCCATCCCTCCAAGGTTCGGCCGCTCGCAGAGGGGGGGGAGGGGGGAAGGCTGCTCAGAAGCACCCCTGCTTCTTAGAGGACTCGGGCCTGGTTCGGCCACGCGCAGAAGGGTCAGAAGGGGGTAGGGGGAGGGGTCCAGGCTTCCTCGTAAGCACACCTGACTCGAAGAGGGCGCGGGCCTTCTCTATAGGTGTGAGGCTGGTGCCTTTAAGAAGCAGCTTTCTTCTAAGAAGCCTTCCCCCCCTCCCCCTGCCCCCTTGTGCGCGCCGCTGAAAGGTCATATGGGACCCCTTCGTTCGGGGGTTGTTGAAGGTGCCCCTGGCCCAAGGTGCTTGCACGTTTTTGCTCTATTTTGGAGCCCTTGGGCCCTCTGGGCCTCGTCAGGCAGTGAGGGGTGCTCTGGAGGCCGTGGGGGCCTCATTGGAAATCCTGGGGGCACCTCGGGCCAGGGGCACTTCGAGCACTACCCGATTCGTGGGCGAAAACATATCCGTATCCGCGGCCTCGCGGGTCGGGCCTTTGGGCCGCAGGAGCGGGGCGCTTTTTCGCGGATGCGCCGCGCGGAGCGTACAAGTAAGATCGCGCATCCGCGGGATTGCGCCCGGGAATCCAGACCGCGAGGGCGCGGATCGCCGCTCGTGACTGACACTCCTCCCGACTCCTCTTGCGTCATCCCTCCAGCCTCCCGACTCTTCCTCCTCCACATGTATTTCTCCACCTCCTCGTCCTTCTGGATTCTGATTGGGAGCTTTGATCCTCCCCAGCGTTTCCGATTCGATCGGATCCTGATCCTCCTCCTCCTCCTCCTCCTCCTCCTCCTCCTCCTCCTCCTCATGGTGAGATTTGCCCATCATCATTTGACCCCTCATGCCTCACGCTGGGGCATTGACCTCTCCTGCTGTAGGCTCAGGATTTGGCTTCTCATGCGGTGACCTTCACCCTGGGTCTGCGATCCTCCATGCGTCGACCCCACCGCTGGGGCTTTGGGCCCGCATGCGTTGACCCCTCCTGCGGGGCACGCCCCTCATACTTTGATCCCAGTGCGCTTTCCCTCCACAACGGGGTTTTGGCTCCTTCCTTGTTGACCCGTCACGCCGGGACCGCCCCCTCGGACGTTGACCCCCGCGCCGTGGACTGGCCCTACTAGCTCCTTCGGTGTCCCCTCCTCAGCGTGATCCCCTCGTGGGTTGCACTCGGTCTCCGCATGCATGCTCCCTTTCGCTTCTCGTCTCCGCCGCAGATTGCCCCATCCTCCTTCGCCACTCTGTTGCCCCAGCGTATTTGTCCTTGCTCATCCTGCTGTCCCGCAGAATCGCTTTGGCCGCCATCTCTGCCCTGTCCTGCGCATCTAGATGCAGACGGTTGAACCATGTTACGGCCACAATGAACGCGGAATGCACAAGTGAACGCGGAATGCACATACCATCGGCTGGAGTTCCGACACGTCAATCGTGGACCCCTTCTTCTGAGGCCCGCCTCTTGGCACAGGACATCTGACGCGTTGACCCTTCATGCTGGCTCTACGACCCGCCACGCGCTGACCCCATCGCTGAGTGCGCCGATTCCTGATGCGGGATCTGCGACCCTTCACACCTTGACCCCTTCATGGTCTGGCTTGGACCCAGCACGCGCCGTCCCCTTCATATCGGGGCTGCGCCCTCACATGCGTAGCCATTAGGGTTCAGCCACCCTCAAAGGCCGTGCCATCCGACAGTGTTCTCCTCCTCTGCCTCCCGCCGTGCCGATCGGCATCCACCCCTCAGAGGTCCCCTCGGCCCCCCCCTCCTTTTCCTCCGCCTCCTCCTCCTCCTCCTCCTCCTCCTCCTCCTCCTTGGCTGATCGGTATTGCCACTTCGAGTGATGATAGGCGCTTGGGCCTGCGGGAACAAGAAGGAGGAATGCGCTCAGGCCGGTTTGTGGCTCGAGCGGGTCCCTGCGGGTGCCACACCTTGGTGTTGGCCGCCTGGCCTATCGTGCTTGCCGTGCTGTGGTGCAGTCATCCGCCTCATCCTTCCCGCATCCTGTTGCTCTTCCTCCTCCTCCTCCTCCCCTCCCCAATCTTCCGCCTCCTCCTACTCCCCCTCCTCCTCCTCCTCTCCCTCCTCCTCCTCCTCCTCCTCCTCCGCCACGTCGCGCGACATCTGGCCGTGGAAAGGGGGGCGGGTCCTGAGGGAGAGGAGTTCCGATGTTTCTGGCTGGTTTCGGCCTCCTGGGGGGCCTGGTGTTGTCAAAAAGCTGTTAGGGATGAAAAGCTAGTTTAGGGCGAAGCCCCGAGTTCAGGACTTGTTTCTTTCATCCCCAATTTTATTTTGTGAGCACTTTGGTTGATTCCTAATGAGAGTCTTTGCCTCCTTCGAAGCCTGTCCCTCTCACCCAGCCCCCCTTGCTTGCCGCCAAAGGTCACGATCACCAAGCTGAAGCTCGATAAGGACCCGGCCGCCCAGCATCGTTGATTGTGTACCCCTGCCCGCAATGTAGCCCATTCGGAAGCGGACGAAGGCAAACCGCCCCTCCCCTCCCGAACTGCTAGGGCACCCGCTCGAGTTGCCAGCGGCTGGCTGCCCGCTCCGGCTTCCCCTGTGACGCCCACCGCGCCACAGGCGCGCTCCGCTCGCGAGCCGCCGCGCCCTCTCGAGACGGCTCTCCTCTCCCAGACCCCCGGCGTCACGATCGTGTCAGAACTCGGATCTTCAGAGACGGGGCTCAATGCAAACGGGGGTCAGCCAGGGCACCTGATCCTGAGGGATCCTGTGAAGACCCCCTCTGGCTGACCTGGGCTAGCGAGCCGCTCGTGGCCGCGAGGCGGCCGCGCATGTTGTCTGACCCGGGTTCGCGAAGCCCTGCGCTGCAGCCTTCTTTTCCTGCACTGCAGTTTTTCGGTTTCCTGCTGACCCGGGCCTGATTGACCCGGGTTAGCAGATCCCCGAAGAACGCCGGCCCCCACAGGCCCAGAGGTCTCGACCCATTCCCTGGGACCGGTTGTCCATGTCAGCTGTCTTCGTCACGGCCCCGGGGCCCGTCGATGGGGGCCCCCGAGGCCGAAAAAATATGATACGGAAGCGTCCGTCTTTTTTTTGCTGTCTTGCACGACTTCCCCTCCGCTGTGTCTGCACCTCTGTGGTGCCCCAGTGCGCTTCCAGGGTGTCCCTCCCGTCGCTCGGCCGGCGTTGGAGTGTTTTTCTGCGCCCGCGGAGGACCAGAGCACGACCTCTGTTCACGACGCGAGGGGGCCCGGGCTGCAGAGGAGGGTGGGGTGCTGATGAGGCCGAGGCAGGCCCGCAGGTCGGCGGGGCCGGGAAGTGCGGGTCGGCTTTTGATAACTGCTCTGGGCGTTTCCTCCGCAGTCCTGCCGTGCTCGATTCCTTCCTCGGGCACGCTTACCAGATGGCTTCGCTTGTCAGGGTGATTGTTCTGAGGGTGGAGGCTCCTGCTCTCCTCCTGCTGCTCCTCCTCCTTCTCTTCCTCCTCCTCCTTCTCTGCCTCCTCCTCCTCCTCTGCCTCGTCCTTCTCCTCCTCCTCCTCTTCCTCCCCCTCCTCCTTCTCTGCCTCCTCCTCGTCCTTCTCCTACTTTTCTTTTTCCTCCTCCTCCTCCTCCTCCTCCTTCTCCATCTCCTCCTCCTTCTCTGCTCTTCTCCTCTTCCTCCTCCTTCTCTGCTCTTCTCCTCCTCCTCCACCTCCTCCTACTCTGCCTCCTACTCCTCCTCCTCCTCCTCTTCCTCTGCCTCCTCCTCTTTCTCTTTTTTGTCCTCCTCCTCTTCCTCTGCCTCCTCCTCCTCCTCCTCCTGACGAGGCCGAGGCAGGCCCAGAGGCCCTCGGTTTCTGGGGCGGTACTGGCCTGGCCGCCGAGGGGGGGCCCCACCGGCGTCCGCGGCGAGGACCGCAAGGCGCTGCTGGACAGGAAGGGCGGCAAGGCAGGGCCGCCCACGATCCGATTCGGTGCGATTCGACTCGCCAGCCAGGGCCGCGACTGGAAAAACACATTGTGGGACCCAAAACACAGCGAGTGTGTTTTTGTTCCGCAGACTCTTCTCAGCACGTTCCGGCGGAGCCCGGCCGGAACGTCTTTCCAGCGATACGTCTTTCCAGCGATCAGTGCAAGCAGGGAGGGATGCGAATGAGTGTTGCATCGCCGCATGGCGTAGCATGAGTGTCGTCCCTCTCTTCACCTTTTTTTGCCTCCTGTCTCCGCTTGTGCATGCTTCCTCTTTGTCCACTCACCGCAGCCGTTGGCACGAAACTGGCATTATCTGAACGAGTGCCCGTGCGCTGATAAAACAACGAGTGCTCTCTGACTTCTGCTGCGTTGCCTTGAGATTGTCTATTAATCTTGATTCGGTTCGATTCGTGTCGGTTCACTGGCATCGATCGGGGCCAGCCTGAGCCAGGCGCGGCGGTCCGGTTTCGATTCGATTCTGGACGATTCGCCGGCGATCCCGTCCGTTTCCGATCCGACTTCGCGATTCGATCCGGCTCTGCTCTGCAAGGGGAAGAAGGGCACCAAGTACACGGACAAGGACTGCCCGAGCCCGAGCCGCTCTTCTCCCCAGATCCCCTCGAGTCATGAAGAAATCCCGACGAAAGGTTTTGCTGTACTATTTTCCGCCTCTGAGGGCTCTTACCTGGCCTCGGGACCGTAAAGAAACGCTTGATGATGAAAAACCGTTCCCGGGAAATGGGTCGAGACCTCTGAGGGTCGAAGTTAGGAAAAAATCATGACGTCATGGGTATCGTGCCTGCTCCGAAACGCGGCTTATCTCAGAGGAGGGAAGGGCACCGATGCGTACCGCTACCTTTGCCTCGTTTTCGCCTTCTTGGGCCTCCTGGGGGGCCCTCGTCACCACGGCTGGATTTGCCTCGAGATTCTGCTCGGAACGCAACCCGGGAGAGGTCCAGAGGGCATCGAGGCATCGAGCGTATGCGTTCGGAGGCCCGCGTGGACTTCTCGGGTCCGCGCTGGACCCCCCCTGGCGGTGCCTCTGGCGCCGCCCCCGGGGGCGCTGCGCGCGCCCAGGGAGGGAAGTCCGGCGCCGCTCCACGAAGTCCGCGTGGACCTCCGGAGGGTGATGTCTGTTCGGATGTGTGTGGGTGTTCTCTACGTGCTGGTGCGGGGTCGTGTTTTGCACAGAAGGGCGAGTCTGCGACATGACGTGGAATCGTACCCAGGTCGCCCAGGGTCGTCGGCTACGGCTGCACAGTTTTACTCCCATCACCCACCAGGCAGTGCGGACCGGTGCAACACTGGATCTCCCGCTCCCGCTTTCCTCCCCGCTCTCTCATCCTCCCGCCTCGCACCTCCCCTCCCCGTCCGCCCCATCCTGTCCCTCCTCTCGCTCCTTTTACGGAAGATTTGAGCGCGGAAGTAGCCGGTGCTGGTCTGTCCTGGAGCAGTTCATTGTTTTCAACACCTGGCAACATTTTCAGATACTCGAGCGTTTCTTGACGCAGGTCTGCTCCTCGTCCTCTCCAGATCCTCGACGCGCTTGGCGTATCCCCACTAGCCCGTCCAGAAGCGAAGCCGAGGAGAGCAGTTGGGACCAGATGGGCAGTTGAGCGCACGGGGTGACGCAGACCGAGCAGGGGAGGCGACGGCCGCCAGAAGTCCCCTCTCACGATGTCGTCTCCCGCGCAGGGTCGACGCGAGAGCCCGTCGTAGGCTGACCCTTGGGCTCGCCGTGAGGGCGGATGGGGCGCGAAGGCCTCGGGAGTCAACCAGAGAGGCACTCGTTTTTCGAGGCGGCTGTCTTGGGGGCTCCTCTTGGAGCGGTGGAGGCTTTGGGGGACCTCTCGGGGCCCTCATGGGTTCCTTGGGGCGGCCCTTCTGGCCATCTCGGAGGCCGTCGATTGGGCCGTCGATTCAAGGAGGGGGGTGGCGTGGTGGAGGAGGGGACGCGTCCTTGGGCCCCCCTCGGCTTCGGTGGACTTTTCGAAGGAGGAGGAGGAGGAGGAGGAGGGCGTATAGGGGAAGGGATAGGAGGGAGGGGGGGAGGAAAACGAGTGAGGAGAAGGAATTTGACCGAACACGTTCCCAGTTAACTTCTGGTGAACCCTAGGTGGGACGAGGAGGGAATACGTATGGGAGGAAGTGGAACAGGAGGAGGATGGGAGAGGAAGAAGGTGACCACTATGACGACGACGAGACCGAAGGAAGGAAGGATGACGAGGGGTGGGGGTAGCGCCCGCAGTAAGGAAGGACGACGAGTACGGCGGCGTTGAGAACGACCGTGACAACGCGCACCACGACCAGCACGGCGACGACGACGACCAGGGCGATCGGGGCGACGCTACCGCGACGTCCGCAGCGACGAAACGACCACGACGACGACGACGACGACGACGACGACGACGACGACGACGACGACGACGACGACGACGACGACGACGACGACGACGACGACGACGACGACGACGACGACGACGACGACGACGACGACGACGACGACGACGACGACGACGACGACGACGACGACGACGACGACGACGACGACGACGACGACGACGACGACGACGACGACGACGACGACGACGACGACGACGACGACGACGACGACTACGATGACCACAGGAGTCGACCATAAAGGCATTCGCGGATCTTTCGCTCCAGGAGCATTTTGGATGTCTCTTGAGCCATCTTGGAGCCTCTTGGGGTTATTTTGAACGTTTTGGAATCCCTCTTGGAGGTCTCTTCGGGCCGACCTTTACACCCTCCTCCAGAGTCCTGGCCTCTCACCGCTCTCCTCTCTGGAGGCCCAACACCATCTTGTGACACATGTCCTGACGACCTCGACATCCTGGAGACCTCCACGGGCCAGCCTGTCGCCAGGCGGTTTAGGGGACGCCGCAGTCAAAATCAAGCGCCTGTTCCGGGCCAAGAGTCAGCTCCAGACTCACAGCAGGCCGCGGTCTCCAGGCATCTCGGGCGTCGAGTACTGGGGGTGCGATAAATTTGGGGTCGAAGAAAGGTGCACCTTTGTGCCCCAGAGGTGCCCTGGAGGCGCCCCCAGGGGCTCCACAGGGGTTCAAAAGGTGCACGCTTCTCCCCCCCCAATTGTCGCCCCCCCACCAACTAACGAACGCCCGAGCGGGCCATTGTGGGACCTCCTCCGCGATGGGCTTGCACTGTGACCCACCTCACCCGCGGGGGCGCGAAGATGATCGAGGAGGAGGAGGAGGAGGAGGCCGAGGTGGAGGTGGAGGCGGAGGAGGAGGAGGAGGAGGAGGCGGAGGCGGCGGAGGCGGAGGCGGAGAAGGATGAGGAGGAGGAGGAGGAGGCGCAAGAGGAGGAGGCGCAAGAGGAGGAGGAGGAGGAGGAGGAGGAGGAGGAGGAGAAGGAGGAGGAGGAGGAGGCGGAGGTGCAAGAGGAGGAGGAGGAGGCGGAGGAGGAGGAGGAGGAGGAGGCGCAAGAGGAGGAGGAGGAGGAGGAGGAGGAGGAGGAGGAGGAGGAGGAGGAGGAGGAGGAGGAGGAGGAGGAGATCGCGCTTCGCGCGTCGCGGTCTGGGCCTGAGCGGCTGCCGGAGCCTCTCCACGGGGGCGGCGCGAGGCTGCGCGGGCGCAGCGGTGGCCCCTCGCCGCGCAAAGCTGGGCGACCTAGGTGGGGGGCGAAGTCAGAGGAGGGCAAGGTACTCTTCATGTTTTTTTGATCTAGGGGGGGAGCGGTGATTCACCTTCCGACTGAGCTTGCTCAATCCCGCCCCCCACTATTAGTACACATATGTTTCCCCAATCAGTGCTTGCACTGAAGGGGTCCTAGCGGAAGTTGAAGGATTTGGCGAAAGTTCCCCGCCGATTTGGGTGGCAGGTTGGGTTCCCGGTTTCCCGGGTTCCCGGTTCCGCCGGGTTACCGGTTCCGGGTTTTGGGCCGATTTTCGGTTGGCGGCGAGGTTCCCAGGTTCTTGGGTTCTTGGTCGATCTTCTTATCGATCGGTCTCACCATCGATCTCACTACCGATTTCTCGATCGATCTCTTTATCAATATCACAAGCGATCTCACTAGAGATCGCATGAGCGATCTCGCGATCGATCTCACTATCGATCTCATTGAATCGATTCCACTCTCGGTCTCACGAGCGACCTTACAACCGTCCTCACAATCCATTGTACTATCGATCTCATCATCGATCTAACAATCGATCTCAAGATCCCGAGTATCAAATTTCAAATCATCCACTGTTTCGATCTTCTTTGGTGAAAGTATATACATACACATATGAAAACGAACAGGCACACACATATATATATATGCTTATGCATGTGAATATGCATGTGACTGTACATGTATATGTATATGCATGTGTATCGATTTTTGTATATGTATATGTATATGTATTTGTATATGTATACGGATATGGACATGTACAGGTATGTGTATAGTAGATGAATATGTAGATGTATATGTATACGTATATGTGTATATACCTGTATATAAATGTCCAGGTCTAGGTGTATGTATATGTGTACGTACGTGCCCATGTACATGTAGGTGTACATAACTGTATGTATATATGTATATGTTCGCGTGTATGCAACTGTTGATGTATAGGTTTGTGTATGTGTCTGAGTACGTGTTTGTGCTGCTGCTTATGTACGTGAATATACCCAGATATAGGTAGTACAGGTACATATTTAAGCGTCTACAGATACAAGTGTATTTAGAAAGCTAGATCGAGTCCAGGGCCTCACCCGTCTAGCCTACGATTGGCCCAGAGGATGCTCCGCATGTGTGGCTCGCTCGCTCGCTTTGCTTTCCCCCAGTTGGGCTGTCGGGGGGGGGGGCGTGCTGGACGCAGCCGGGAGCTCTGCCGCGGCCGGCCGCACAGGACATGGAGAAGTGAGCGAGGGCCGCGCGCGCCTCGCGCGGTCCGCTCTTGCTGCGCCTGCCGTGGGCGCCCCTCCGGAAAAGGGTTGCGTCGAGCACAGGGAGGAGGAGGAGGAGGAGGAGGAGGAGGAGGAGGAGGAGGAGGAGGAGGAGGAGGAGGAGGAGGAGGAGGGGGGAGGAGGAGGGGGAGGGGGAGGGGGAGGTGGAGGAGGAGGAGGAGGAGGAGGAGGAGGAGAGGAGGAGGAGAAGGGGGGAGGGGGAGGGGGAGGGGGAGGGGGAGGAGGAGGACGAGGAGGAGGAGGACGAGGAGGAGGACGAGGAGGAGGAGGAGGAGGAAGAGGATCAGGACCAGTGTAAAACCAATAGTCATCCACGATGTTGGAGTAAACTCTTCCTCCAAGCTCCCTCTTCATAGGCCCCTACAGCGGTTCATTTCCATAGGAAGAACTGCTTCTTTGGAAGACAACCATCTGAAGACCCTGAAGCATTCCAAAACATTGCTCCCTGGATTCCAACGCCACGGTTCAACCTGACTGCTGCGTTTTGACGATCCTGAATCGTTCCAGGATGCCATTCCTGGGACTTCACGCATCGAACCAACATAACTGTTGCACCCGCAGAATCCAGAATCCTTTCAAAACACCCTTTCTGGCACGTACCCTTGCAAATGTTTAAGACGAGTGTGCGCCGCGCTAATTCGAGAGCCACATGTTGAAAAGGAGCCGCCTTCAATCCGTGAAACCCTTGCAATTTGTTGAAACGAATGTGCGCCGCGCTGAGACGGAAACCACATTTTGAAACCACCCGCCCTCAATCCGTGAAGTTCTTGCAAATGTTTAAAACGAATGTGCGCCGCGCTAAGGCAGGAGCTTCATTTTGAAAACGAGCCGCCCTCAATCCGTGAAGCTCTTGCACATGTTTAAAAAGAATGTGCACCGCGCTGAGGCGAGAGCCACATTTTGAAACCGAGCCGCCCTCAATCCGGGAAGCTCTTGCACATGCTTAAGACTAATGTGCGCCAATGTGCGCCGCGCTAAGGCGAGAGCCACATTTTGAAAACGACCCGCCCTCCATCAGTAAAGCTGTTGCCAATATTTAACCTTCAGAGGTATAAGTGGTGAGGAAGTCGCATGCGAAACGCCCAGCCCGCCCGAAAGACTGGCCTCGGGGCGCGACAGGGATAAGTTAGCTATAAGGAAAAGGAATGGAGGAGGAGGAGGAGGAGAAGGAGGAGAAGGAGGCGGAAGCGGAGGAGGAGGACGAGGACGAGGAGGAGGAGGAGGAGGAGGACGACGACGAGGAGGAGGAGGAGGAGGAGGAAGAGGAGGAGGAGAGGACCAGTGTAAGCCCAAGAGCCATCAACGATGTTGGAATCAACCCTCCCTCAAAGCTCCCTCTTCATAGGCCCGTGCAACGGTTCATTTCCCCTGCAGGAGCTGCCTCTTTCGCCCAGGCCTCGTTGCAAGGAGGCGGTCTCCAAGCCTCGCGACCAGGCGCACCACCCGCCTGAGAGCCAGAACTGGGCAAGGACAGCTCGGCGCGAGCGCGCCCGCATCGGGCGGGCCTCAACGGAGTGGGGCGATCGGAGCCGCCCCTGCGATCTCGCTGGACACCTCCGGCGCGGCCACGCTGCTCGGGCGCCTTCGCTGTGGGCCCCCTGGATGGGGATGTTGACGGGGTCGGAGGGTCGCGCCGCATTGCCGACGTAACGGCGAAATGGCTCGACGCGGAGCGCGACTTCTCCCGATGGTACATCGGCGACGTCGGCGGAGCATCGGCGATCCGGCGCGATTCTCCGACTCGTGGACTGGGACCCCATTCTGCGGACTGCTCTTCGACTGCTCTCCCAGAGCGGACTCGGGGCCGGTCGCGCCGCCGTCGCTGGCCCCGCGCGAGGGCGATGTCTTCGCTCCTGTGCCCCCCGTCGTCGCCCCCGGGGAGGGGCAGCACCATGCCCTTGTGGCCCGAGCAGCGCGGGCAGGGCCGCCGCGGGCCGAGCCGCCGCTCGAGGAGGGCGGCGCGAGCGTCGCCGAGGAAATTCGCCGAGGCGCGGGCCTGCCTTGCGGCTCGGTTGCCGCCCTCGGCGATCCCCGATCGGGCTCTTCGCTCCGCCCCGAGACCTGTGGCGCGAGATGGCGCGCGGGCCGCTGCGGATCGGCGTCGCCCGCGAGTCAATAGTGGTGCAGCTTCGCCCCCGCGAGCAGCATTGAGCGCCAGTGCCCGCCCGCGGCGGCGCCCCCCCTCGCCCGTCGCCACCTCGCCCTCCTTCGAGATCTGCGACCTCCTCGGCAGTGCGTGCCCCGTGCAGGCGCTCACGCGCGCCTCTTCGGCTGCATGCGCGAGTGGCGGGGCTGCGGCTCGGACCCCTGGCTGGGCCAGGATTCCTCGGAGGAGGCGCTGGACCCCCCTCCCTGGCGCGCGGAGCGCGCCAGGGGCGGCGCCGGAGGCGCCGCTGGGGGGCCCCCAGCGCCGATCCGGGAACTCCGCGCGCACCTCCGAGTTTTTTGATGCTCATGCCACCTTTTGTTCCCCTAAGGGTGCTCCGACGTGCACGCGCGGGGAAGGAGTGAACCTTCCCCGCGCGTGCACGTCGGAGCACCCTTCCCCCAACCCTCCGCATCCCACGGGGCCACCCGCCTGCCCGGTCCACCTGCGGGCTCTCAGCCCGTGCAGGTCTGCGGCTCCGGCGACGTCGCAGCCGAGCCGCGCCACCCACCAACCCGAAGACCTCATTTTGCCGTCCATTTCCAGTGGGGAGGGGGGTCGAGGACCATTGAAAAAGCACGTCTGGAACCCGTACCCCCCCCCAACCCGAAATTCGGGTCTTCGGGACGGGTTGGGGTGGTTTGGGTAGGTAGCCAGTCCAAGGAAGCCACATCCCTCCTGGGCCCGGTAGGCTCTGTCCCCTCTGCGCTGGGGGCCTCTGCGGGCGCCGCGGGGCGCCCGGGCCGCCGGGGCCGCCGGGGCCCCGAAGCCGGAGTCGGTCGAGTCCCGATCGTCCCTGCGCCCAGCCGTCGCAGTTTTGAGCGGGCGCGCGGCGCCTGGAGGTGTGTGATGGGCCTGTTTTCCACCACCACCACCATAAGTTGGAGTGGGAAGGGGGTCCTCCCCCTCTTCTTCCTCCTCCTCCTCCTCCTCCTCATCATCATCATCCTCCTCCTCCTCGTACTCATCCTTCACTTCCTTTCCCCTTCCAACTTATGGTGGTGGTGGTGGAAAACAGGCCCATCAGTGTGGGCGCTTGCAGTGGAAATCGACCGCTCGTTCCAGGCCCGTGGCAGGTCAGGGCTGGACCTGAGCGGTGTTTTGGCGATTTCGTGGGCCGTGTTTGTTTCGATTCCGTTTTGCGTTGAAGGCGGACTGAAGACACAATGAGGGGAAACGAAAGCGAAACGAAAACGAAAAACACCGTTTAGGTTCAGCCCTGCCTCGCGGTCAGGATGCCAAGACTCGCAGGAGTCGACGGTGAAAGTATCGCCACCCGAGCTTGGCCACCGCGCTCGAGGGAGACGCCCCTGCCCTCGCCCGAGGCCGGGTGCTGGATCTCTCCGAATCCATCGCGGTGCCCGCGCGCCCGCCTGACCTTCGCCATCCCCCCCCCTTAACTTCCTCGGGTGGAGGGTTCCAGGGGCCGCGAGGGGAAGGGCGCAGGAGCTGGCAGCCATCCCGAGCGTGGAGCCCAGGAAGCCTCGGGGGTGCAGAGAGCGAGCGAGGCCCAGACCACACGTGCGGTGCAGCTGTCGCTCCGACGTCAGGCTACCAGGCGTCTCTCGGAAGCGCTCCACCAGGCTCTCCCGTCCCCCTAATCTTCAGATTAGATCGCACGGCCTCCTTCCGTGCCGTTTAGTCCCAACAGTGTTGTCACGATTTCAAGGCCAGGTTGCCCTGGCACGCAGGTCGTCGCAAGGCATTCGCAGGCTCTGCGGTCGCGGGAAACCTCCCTAATTTGTTCTTCCTCCTTTGCCCCCTCCTTCTCCTCACACCCATTTTTTTTGTTTTGTTCTCTCTCTCTCTCTCCTCTCCTCTCCTCTCCTCTTCTCTTCTCTTCTCTTCTCTTCTCTTCTCTTCTCTTCTCTTCTCTTCTCTTCTCTTCTCTTCTCTTCTCTTCTCTTCTCTTCTCTTCTCTTCTCTCTCTTCTCTCTCTCTCTCTCTTCCCTCTTCTCTTGCCGCCCGCGACCGCGCGCCCCCGCCCCAGGTTCAATGCCGGCAAGCGCGCGAGCGACCTGCTGCAAATTAAAAGGGCGCGCCCTCGCGACGCGCTGCGGCCCCGCCATCTCCCCGCTCCCCCTGGCGGCGCGCGCGACGTCGAGGACGACGTCGTCGGCGTCGAGGACGCCTCAGTTGATGGGCCTGTTGTCCACCACCACCATCACAAGCTGGAGGGGGAGAGGGTCCTCCTCGTCTTCCTCCTCCTCCTCCTCCTCCTCCTCCTCCTCCTCCTCCTTCTCCTCCTCCTTCACCTCCTTCCCCCCTCCAACTTTTGGTGGTGGTGGTGGTGGTGGAAGACAAGCCCATCATCCGTCTCCTCCTCTTCCTCCTCTTCCTCCTCCTCCTCCTTCAGCTCCTTCCCCCCTCCAACTTTTGGTGGTTGTGGTGGAAGACAGGCCCATCATCCGTCTCCTCCTCTTCCTCCTCTTCCTCCTCCTCCTCCTTCACCTCCTTCCCCCCTCCAACTTTGGGTGATGATGGTGGTGGTGTTGGAAGACAGGCCCACCATCCGTCGAATCAGAACACACGGCATACAGTCAAGTTGTCGGAAGTCCGCGTGTTTTGTGCGGGTCAGCGCGCGCGCTCTCCGCGCGCCGGGGGGGGGCGGGCCCCGCGCCGAGCCGAGGGATCCGCGACAGGCCTCCGAATGGCGATGCTCACGCCGCTTTGCGTTCGTCCTCGGGGAGGTTCTCGTCGGGTGTGGCCAGGACCCCAGGTGAGGGGACCCGGTCAGTGGCAGGGCCCCGGAGCCCCTAAATTGGCTAGAATCACTAGACCAGGTCTGCCGTACACTCTAGGCGATGCTTAAGAAAACCCAAATTTTCGGCCAGAGCCTCGATTTTTCTTAATGTTTCAATGCAAATCCTAAGGTTTGAATGGAATTTTTTGGTTTTTATT